AAGCCAGCGGTGCCGAGCAGCCAGGCCTGCTGCCCCAGCCCCCAAGGCCCCGCACCAACTCTGAGATCAGGAGCCGGCGTATTTTGCCTTCCTAACGCTCATACCCTACTGCGTAGCAGTAGCTCTCCCTAGTGCGGCCTCCACCGCTCGGGGCACACGCAGGCTGCTCAGAGGGTTTGCGGGGCAGCAATGCCTGCGTTCCAAACAGCCCACGAGTTTACAGCAGCTGCTCAGGTGCCTGCACCCCTCTGTTTCCCCACACCGAGAAGTCAGGCACGACGCCAGGACAGAGACGGACCAGCACTGGTTATGGAGGAGACGCTCTCTGCCGGGCCTGCGGTGGCTGCCGGGAGAGCGGGAAAAGCTGTTCCGGCCCCGCTTCGGCCCCAGGCCCGAGCCCCGGGGACTGCCTGGGTTTTCACGTGGTTGCAACGCCTGCGCCCCCTCCCCTCCCTACCTGTTTCCTAGGTGGCCTCTTCCCAGAACGCCGTGAGTCACGGCAGGTGAGGACCTCGCCCTTCACGTGTTGGGTTTTTTTTAAATAATGAAAATAGATAAAGGTGGGGAGTTTCACCCCAGCTTCCCCGTAACTGGGTTCTCTTGGACCCTCCTTCCAGGCTGGATACCGTCACCTGCTTCACAGCATTTCAGCATTGCCATAAGAGAGATCTGGCTTGAAATGGTTTTCTTTCCGGTAACTCTTATGTTAATACAGCCACAGTCTGACATATTCCATGGAATCCAGAAGGTTAAGGTGGTGAACAGAAATCCCCAAAGTGTGAACGCAGTTAATTGCTTCTTTCTTTCTTGTTGCATCAACAGCTGTAAACCCTAACGATACTTGTAAACGCATAATGACTTTAAAGTTCTTAACTCTAATGAGTTTGTTCTCTCCAACACTCCCATACAGTTTCTACTTTTTTTAGATGGATGAGCTTTGGTTCTGATCTCCACTGCTGCTTCACACTGCAGGAACAACTCGACATGAGCGAAGCTGTAGGTGATACTGGATTAAGCCCTCTGTTCCTGACAGCAGCGCTGGGCTGCAATCGTGTGCCTGATAACCGCTCGTATCTGCGAAATGTAGACAACACCTCTTAACCTCCAGCTTTGGAGGAAACCTTAATTGCGGGAACAACTGTGACCAGAGAAGGAAACTTTCTTACGATTCCTCAGTAGGGCCACGACACCAGTCTTACGGTGAGGCAAACCTCCTAACCGGCACAGCAGAAATCTGATTTAAGGACAAAATCTGCCTTTGTGTTCACTCCCTCTTGCCAGCTGACCACTGCCAAAGCCCTTGGAGGAATGCAGGGTAAAGCAAAAAAAAAAAAAAAGGCCTATTTGCTTTAACATGGACTGGACCGATACACAAAATAAACACTCAAGGCAACAGCCAGCAGCATCTTACAGGTGAAGACAAGCCCAGAAAACCCCACCATGTGGCAATGGAAACAGTGCTCGGCGTTGTCTCTCCGCGCAGAGAGCGAGGGCTGCCGGCGCCCACCCCGACTCCGGCACTGAGCAGGCAGGCACACGACCGTTTTCAGTGCTACCTCCCTTGCTGTGTGACACTTTGCAGGGCAGCCGACTTAATACAAAACGGGCATAAAAATGTGCAAGCCCTGCGGAAGGTTCTGCAAGATGGGCAGCTGGAAAGAATTAGGGAATTGCCAGACGTTCTCTTTTGCTTCTAGCTTTCTGCAAAAACCCATCAGTTTTCCCTAAACAAACGACGCCATCTGCCAGTATTTCCTATGACAGAATCACACATAAGATCAAAATTACTCACTAAAAATTCATCCCGGATGAAGAACTTGGCTCTTGTGACTTTGGGGTCTTCTCCGGCATCTGGTGTTGCTGTTCAATTAAAAATAAGTGACATCAGAAACATGAAAAGCAAACAATCACCTACTTTTCATAACAAAGGATTTAATAAGGAAGAAGTAGTCCTTCAATACAGAAATTAAAATGTTAAATATCCACAGGAGATTCCTGATGGGAAATTCTAAAATGGAAGGGTACTGCAGAATTTGACTATGCATTTAACGTACTTTAGGAACCTGAAAATTGCTGAAATCTTTGCAACAGTGTCAGTGATCATATCACACAGAGGCTTACTCACATCCACAAGTTTGTTCATACAGACACAACCCAAGCGGGAGCTGGGGTCTAACTTCTGTCAGAAAATACGACTAGAAAAAGTAGGCGAGCTGTTCAGTTTCTGCAGCAGAACAGCATCCCCTGAATAAAGCACCCGCAGGCAGGAATTTGGGTTTAAAAATGGTTAGTTCAAGATTACACTTGAAAAAAATGATAGCATCAAAAGATCTTTTGTTTTATTTCCAGGCCCCAAGTCCGCAGAATCCTTAGAATCCTTACATATACTGCCCATCGTGGGGCCTTACATTAAATTCTTGTTGAGTGGGAGACTCAATGGTCAGCACTCACTGTTTGTCAGGAGATGAAGTCATCTCTATCTAGGCCATGTAACAACTATATTTACTGTATGCGTAAAAAACAGTGCAGTGAAGAGATAACCTATTCATTACCCTGCAGTGTGATTTCTCCTCATGTCAGATACCTGATCGTATGCTTATAAACATACTACAGTAAAGGGCAGAATTTATCAGAACACGGAAACATGTTTTTTAATCTATAGTGCTAGGCGTAAACACAGAGGTTTACAGGGTAAACACAGGGTAAACCAGCATAATCAGCAGCATCTTAGAGTTCAGTGCTGCTGTCCTTAAATAATGTCAGCTACAATGAAAGAATAAACGAACAACTGCAGATTAGAGAGCTGTCTCACGTGTGAATATTCTGGATCACTCTGGATATCCGCTGTGAAATCCCGCTGAGAAACATCTACTTTATTCTGACAACTGGCTTACCATAAAAAAATGTCGAAAATTTACCCAAACTCTGTATATATGTGATGTCTGTTTGGGAGATGGAAAATTGGGTGACAGCATTATAAAACTGGTGCCAGGTTAACTCAGATTTTAGGACAGTTTATTTCTCCTCTCCACCTGAAACTCAGTGTGGCACTCCTGAAATTCCAGACCTGAATGAAAGCTGAAAATAGCTTATCATCGCCATCTTCACTTCTACAACCAAGGCTGTTGTTGATGATCAATGGAGAACGAAAGCCTCTTCTGGCTGGTGGCTGCAAGCACCGAGCCAGGGGCATCGCTCGGCTAAGGCAGAGGTCAGAAAGTGCAGTTTTTACCACTTTCGCTAGACACAGACCTGAGATGTCTGGGAAGCCCTCGGCCTGGTATAGAACTGGCACAATACCAGAGTTTACTTATGCAGTGTGTTATTACGCTGCAGGAATCATTGCCCTTCTTGAAATGTTAAGAAACCTAACCCATGCTGAAGGCTCTGCCGTCACAGCTCTCTCTGTATTTTTTGATGTGGTTTTCCTGCATTACAGCTCCCTTGCTGGTCTGCTGGGCCTTCTGTCGGTGTTTGCAAAGGCCGAAGTTCACAGCGCTGGAGGCCGCAGAAAGGCCGCGGAATAAGACTAACGAATCCCTACGAAGTCCAGCGCTGCGGGAGGCCTAGGCAGAGGCATCCAGCAGGGGCGAGACGCGCCCGGCAGCTTTGCTTTCCTGGGACTGTGGGTTGCTCAAAGCCAGGGAAGGCAGGCAGGGACTCAGGAGCCAGCCTCCCACAGCCCCCCCATCCTCCCCCAGCAGCCAGTGCCCCTTCAGCCCCTGCCTGCGCTGGGGCACTGCCGAGCTCCGTGCTCCCGGCACGCTCCCTACCTGACCCAACAGCTCGTGTTAAGGAACGGTGCGTGCTTGTAAATTTGTGTGAGAGACAGGGAGAGACAGAACTACAGGCTGGGCTATGCCTGCAGGTCCAGCCCCTGCGCGGTGAAAAACCTTACCATCCTCAGGTACAGTGTAATGCGCGTATTCAGGAAAGTAATCTTCGATTTTTGATTTCCCTGCCAAGACTTTTTCAGCCAACATGTCCTGTTTATTCAAGAACAAAATGATAGAAATGGTCCGTAACCACCTGTCAAAAACAAACCGAATGTTCGTGTTATCTCTGACACGTTCATCAAGGAAAACATATCTCTTCAACAGAAAATTTACTGGCTATCCCTGCGTGGGCAGAGAGTGAAGTAGTGTGGAACATGCTTCAACAGAAAAAAAAGATGACCTAAATTATCGTTTCGACTGGGTTGCACCTGTGCTGGTGGGCATATTTATAGGATCTGTAAATACATTTATAAAAACTGCAGTAGACATTGCCGAAGGGAGCAGTCTTCAAATACTGTTTTCCACATTATCCTTCTGATACCTAGTTGGGAAAATTATGACATTTCCTAAAAGCACCACAGTCCAAACCCAGACATTACTGTCTACTTTGGTTTTGCTGAAGCAAAAGAAAAAGGCTGGAAAGCTGCCTTCCCTCAGACTGCTCTGTCTTAACTACTGTTCATCCACACATATCCCACATCTAGGGTGGCCTGTAGGACACCTGATGAATCAAAGAAAATAATGTCTTCTCTTCCCCAATTAATACCTAGCCATCACTGTGACGATGTGTCGTTGGGACCTGCACTTAACATTATTCCTCATTCTACCTTCAATCACTTCTCGGTGCAGGGCATCCTCGTAGGTATGCGCTGAGAACTGCACAACCTTATTTCGTGTATTGTTTTTACTTCCTCTCTATTAGGAACCTATTCAGATTGCTGTTTGGTTACACATCTATGATCTACAGGCACTGTGGCAGAATGGCAGCTTCACGGCAGTTACCCTTAGGTTAGATCTGAAGTGTCATCCCACGAGGCAGAGAAGCCGCGCGCCCTCAGAGACGAGCCTTAGTGAGCGGCTGCCCACGTGGGTATCGGACGCAATGCCAAGCACTAGCTGCTCCTGCTGCTGCATTTGAGGAGGAGACCGAACGCGATTCGGAGGACACTCTCCGTCTTGGCGAAGCAGCACAGCGACGCTGGGAAGGGGCCTCCCCTGCTCCCCCCATGGCAGCCAGCACGGGGACCTTGCCCTTCCCAAGCGGTCCCCAGCCCTGCACCATTTTGGCAGCGGCGGTGAAACATGGTGTGCACCGTCCCTCTGCCACGAGGTCCCCACTGGGGAGGGGTACGCGCCACGGGGCACCCTGCCACCTGGCCCGAGTAAAAACCTGGACATTTTCTGAATAAGCAGTCTGAGCGTACAGGAAGGGGAGTCCTGTTCTGAAAGCAGCTGAACGGTAGCTACACTGGGGAGAGTGGGTGGGAAATGAGGGATGTTTTACCTGTTATTCCAGATACTTTTAAAAAGGTCCAGGGATTCCCGTAGTCTGTTTGTGTTGTTGTCTTCCCTTATTACCATGTTGTAGCTGCTGCAAGCCACAACAAAGATGATAGCCGTGACATCTGGGCAGAGCACGCGAAAGGAAGGAAGGAGAGAGAAAAAGAACACTTCCGTTATCCCAGCACATACTCCTTGGGTAACGCTGCCATTACTCCCCAAACTGCCACAAATACCCAAAGAAAGTATTTGTAATACTGGATTCCTGTATTAGTGACGTACCATGTGTGAATATGAATACTAAGGTGCTCACAGCTCAGAGAATAAGTTCAAAATAAAAATGTGGAATATTTTTACTTACCATTAAAGCATTGGATCCATTTTCTTCTCTCATCTCTCTGGCCACCTACATCAAACATGCTGTTAAAAAGCCATAGGATGTTATATCACTTATGTGTACTAGGAAAGTCACACGAAGCATGCAGCACAAGGGGTCAGTTTAAAAATCTGACAGCCCCGTGACAGTGGGAGTAAAATACCGCCCGAAGGGGAAGAGCTCTGCTGATGCCGCGCTGCATGTCAGAGAGCTGCACAGCTCCATCCACCCCGCTCTGCCAGGAAAAGGTTACTGAACCCATCAAATCAGAAATAGATTCTTTTCCAGGGCAAGTGTTGGCCTTTCCAGCCCACAGAAGTGCATGAGGCATGTAAGGTTGGACCTGCTGTACTATAAAGCAGGACAGGTTTCGGTGTGTGTTGAAGGGTGGTGGGGAGGAAGGAGACGTGGGGGCAGCTCTGCCCTGTCAGCGCTGTCACCCTTTTGGGCAGGAACCAGTGAGCGGAGGCAGCCCGACGGCGGGTGTTTTACAGAGACATAGAGTAAAACTTTGACAAACACTGAGCTTGCAGCCCTGTGGAAGAAGGGAGACATTTAACTCTCCTCATCCCACTGTAGAAAGTCTGGCTCGTGGCAGGATTCCCACTGAGTTCTGCGAGATCTTATCCCCAAAAGTATTCTACAAGTTTACAGTGCTATACCAATGAACCAGTTTGTTAAAACAGCCACAGAGCAGCACTAGTACACATAACTACTATCAGCTCTTTTTCCAAAGTATGATGCAATTTTATTAGGACCTACAGGAAGAGAGCTAAAAAACCAAGCCAAAGGAAAAAAAACCCAATTCCCACCCTAAACCTACTATACCAAGCATACATGACCACAGACATCTGAACTAAGTTGTTAAAAATTTGTATGATATTCATAAATTATTACTAATAGACTTACTGGAAATTTACTTTGTCTACTTGAAATCTTGTTTCAAAAATCCCTGATGTCAACACTCTGCATCTTAATAGGTCCTGGAAATGAGAACACAGAAGCTGATTAGCAAGTTTTTTTCCTAACCTCATTTTGTTTTTAAAAGCGTGGAACATTATTTTCCATGAAAAGTTTTAAAAGCTCTGCTTAAAGTTCAATCAGACTTGCTGGTAAGCCTGTATTTGTCCCTACTGACAAAGTGGATATGCAGAAACATCATCTCTGCATTTGTTTTGTGCACACTCAGAAAGCAGGAGACCCTACGTACATTCTCCTTACTGCTCACTGAAACCTGCGATTGATGGTCATACAATTTTGTATGTGATGGGGATAATGAATTCTGAAGTTACATAAAACTAGGAAAAATGTTATTTATGTTGTGAAGTCAAGTATCCAAATGTTAGAAAACTGCAGATTTACAGTTGCCCAGGCAACCCGAATTCTGCCCTCTTTTGTACTGAATGAGACAGGAATCCTATCGAAATAATAGCTTGTGACTGAGTAATTAAAGGGGAAAAGAATTTAGGTTGTACATAAATCTGGCATTTCTTTTCCATTTTTTAAACTGGCAATACTTTACAACTTAAATAACATTCTTTTAATAATTAAAACTCCAATAATTTCCTGGATTCTCAAAGGACGTAGGCAAAAGCAATTTATGATGCATACCTCGGGCAACTAGCTCACCGCGTGCCATCGTCATCGCCAGCAGCGCTTCCAGCCTTGACTACCCAGCACTGGTGCTCAGCCAGTGGGTGCAGAACAAAACCGGAGGCTGGAGAAAACTGCCGGCTGCCTGATGGGGATGAACCCCCCTGAGCAGCCACCTTTGGGCACGGTCTCGCTCAGCCCTCCTTGCCCCGCAGCGGCTGTGAGAGCGGGGAGGGAAGGAGCCAGCCAGCGGTGCAGACTGCTAGCACAGCTTGCCTTTTAACCCTACCCTGCCATCTACTGCTTGAAGCTTTCTGGTAGCTGGCAAACCTCGGCGGTTTGACAGCCCAGTGAACTCAGCTGCAGGCCACTTACTTAATTATTTTATTTTATATGTTACTGATGCTTCCTGTCACTTGTGACATTTATTTCTTACTGGATTTGGTCATTATTTTGGTTTGGTGAAAAAAAAAATTAAAGAAAGCAAGCAGGGCAACTGATACAGCAGAACAGGACGAAAACCCAAAAGCAAAACAGAATAGAGCAGAAGTTTTCCGCCTGCCGAGTACCAAAGGCCTCTTCTGATCTTTGGAGACAGAGGGCATTTCTTCCCAAAGGAAATTATCAGGAAAAATTTCTAGATGATGAATGACTGCTCCAGATAGAGAAAGGCCTCCCAGGCACAAACAGGCCAACACTAACATAAATAATAAAAGCACGAATGAGGCTTTGGTTCACTGACTTCTCTCTCCAGCTGAGTGGTATCGATGCTCAAATCAGACCATGAGGTCTAGACAGAGTAAATGCTGATGCTACTGCTTTGGTCTGAAAATGTCTCGAGGGCTTTAATAATTGTTCTTATATTGGGTCGACTATAGAAGTTTCACCTTATAATACAACATGTACTACTTTTTACTGCCTTTTATTTCAGGATACGGCCAGAGTAATTGGACAGGCTTGTGTTATAGACTTGAAGTAGGTTTGAAGGAACAAGCTCTGCTCCACATACTTCCTTGTGTGATCTCTGGCGAGTCACTTCATTTCTCTGAATTTCAGTCCCTGATTGCACAATGAGATTTGGCAATCATATTTTTTTAAGGGCATCCACCTGTTATACACCTTGCACGGTTAAGACTGAATTATTCAGAAAAGCAATTCTCTTCTGCCACCTGTATTTGCAGTTTATGACATGGCCCATGATCTTGGCCGAGACTACTGGATGACAGCAAGATACCGGCACTGAAAAATAACAACCTCAGAGTAAGTTTGCCAAAGAGACCTCCCGCCCAAGGAAACCACAGAGCCTGAGCTCAGGGAAGGCAGCTGAAGCTGTACACAGTGGTGCAGCCCTTTCTTACTTCAAGCCTGCATTACTTCAGCCTTAACTTTCCTGAATGCATCTGTCGTTAGAGCACTCTATCAAGATGCATCACAACATCTGGGAAAAACATGTACTGTCCTGCAAATACGGCTGAAATAAAAGAATCCTGCCCACAGGAGACGGGCATAGGCTGGAAAGAAGGGGTCTGCATGGTCGCAGAGAAGTCCCTGAGGTCTGCTGCTGCCGCTGGTGCTCCCCCCTGGATTTGGGCACTAGATCCACCACAGGCTTCTGCCTCTGAAGGACCTGTCTGATGGACATCGGAAGCCTGCCTCTGGGTTTCCATCACCTCCACCACTGAAATAAAACACTACTTCTGTGTAGTGAAGGCTGGTGAGGGAAACTGTAGGCTTTTACATCTGTTTTCTGCTCCCTTCGCTTGGTTTGTGGACACAGAATGGAAAGCAAGAAGAAATAACAGATGTATTACAGGAATCACTGACCTACATACAATAACAGTAAAAGACAAGCTTGCACCACCAAAAACTCTCCTTCTTTAATAACCATTACTGTGTATTTTGATGTTATGTGGTATGCCCTATTTCAGCTGCCGTTGAGACTAAAATAAATTACATAAAGAATTCATATGAATGGGTGTCTTGGTTCCAACCCTACCCCATTAGTTGCACTGACCTGATCTGTGGGTGTGTAGTCATCCATGCTGACGCTGTCAATTCTTTCTAAAAAGCTAAAAGAAAAATAAACATGCGCTTAGATATGTAAAACACTGTCTAGTATAACACGTTTCGCTGCCTTTTCTGGTTTAGACTCCCGCTGCAAAGTAAAACACAAGTCCAATGGTAAAGGTATGAGCCCAATGATTTACTTACATTGATTGAGGTTACATTTTCTGAGCCAAACAACGTTTTACCCAGACTTTGTTTCAATACAGCGCTTCTACACTTACCGTTACACAGTACCCACAAGTGGTCCAAATGCAGTTAAACGATATAATTTTGTGAGGTCCACTAAAAAATACTAAGACTAACCACGTGTCATAACATTATACGGTTGTTTAGACATAAAAAAAGATTTTGGAGTTTAAAAAAGAAAAGGGGGGGAAGGGTTGCCTTTATTTAGCACAATGCCAATCTAGCATAATGTTCTGTTAGTTAAGGTCTCAGTAATGTGAGCAGAAATGCTTGTTAATGTATACAAATAGCTTTGGACTGACACACTGCCCTAGAACACTGCAACTGAAGGGTAAGTAGTGGAAAGCAAAACTGACACGAAGCGGAGGTTGACCAGTCTGACTCTTTCTGTCGCCAAAACTCAGTGAGATGCACATGGCGAAACAAAAACTTACAATGCCAGGGAAGGGCAAGAGAAAAGGGAATCAGAAAAAAAGGGCGGAACCATATTCTCCAATTACTTAAAAAATCTTTTCAAGCTTTAATGCTTTCCTAGAACATGTTAGAATGGCAGTATTAAGGACACAAAAACGTGACTTTATGCATATAGCTAAAATGGGCAGGTTCTCCTCTCTCACTTTCACCCAATTCTTAGATTTTGTGTGAGCCCAGATGGCTCATTTTCCCCAGACTGCCTGTATGACTTAGAAGCTTTCTTGAATTTCTGCATTGTTATTTGGTATTTGGCAGTGAATATCCCACCAGCTGAATCATCCTGCTACAATATTATCAAGATTTCTTTATCAACTGGCAAGTTTTTCCCGATTTCACTTGGGTGTGCATGTGGAATCTACTTAATTGCAGTGGGAAAGACAAAAAAAACCAGTGAACTCTTGACTTGCAATGTGACTCACTGTTAACACAGGGGTCACACACACTGACGAGTTGAAAAAATACCCCCCTAAAAGCCTGTTTGTAATTCTCGTAGCACTTTCCCACGGATACGAACTGAAAGGAAAAGAAAATACGCTGCGTATATATTTACTTCTACTATTTTTCCTTTTTGAATCTCCATTGTTAGAACAGGGAAACAAAATGCAGTATCTACAGTCAGAATATCCAGCTTTTCTTTCTGGATGATCAAGGTGTGACAGCTAAGCAAATTGTTTAAAAAATCACTGTTTAGTGCAACATAATGGGTGCCTGATAACAAAACTACACGGCACAAACTCTAAAGAAAAATCACCTTTTCACAAAACCTCCTCCCCCGCCAAAAGCCACCATAAACTTATATAAAGATATAGAAGACCTCCTTCATAGTCAACTACAGTCACGACGAGAAAGCGGCTGTATTCAGATGGAACCTTTTGGTCAGATGATTTTCATCACCTTGAGAATATCGATTATGCAAAGTTTAACCTCCGTTACCCCCGCAGTTAATGCAGACACCAGAGAAGAGCGATGTATTTTTAACTGGGGCACTTATCATTAACAGAACTCTCAGCTCACGCTCGCAGCACACGAGAGAAAAAAAGAAGGCAAAAAAGCCCAAATCAAAAATGCCTCCAAGCTGCACCTCTTCCTCAACACAGAGGAATTTTCCTTAACGTGGCTGTTCAGGCAACACTCCTGTATTTCCAAGTAATTTCAAAATTTTCTTTCCAGTTTCTTAATGGTTTGATCCGATGGGCCCGGAAACAGCCCCTTTTCATCAGGGTAAAAGTTAGCAGAGGGGTAAATCCAGGTCTCTGACCGCAGCGAGGTGGCAAGGCCAGCAGGTCAAACAAGCCTGCAGAAATGGGCAGAAGCCTGAGGGAGAGGCAGCGCAATCGCTCGCACAGCCCGGGGTCCATAAATGCAACGGGAGCTGGAAAGAAAGCGCTCCTTGGCTACGGCTGATGCAGAAAGGGCTCTGGTTAAAGGTGTGGACAGAAGCAAGTATTTGTGCACAAATACGACTCCATCAACAAACCTCGCAAGCCAGCATGAATCGGTGTTTTTCCTGCAGCAGCATTCCTTCTGGAGTTGATGTATAAACCAGAGACGATACATCTTGTCTCCCCAGTGCCAAAGTCATGCCAGCAGAATTTATCCAAAATGATTAAACTTGGTATTCAGTACCAATTCACATCTCTCTCACCTATACAACAAGCACTCCTGGAAAGTTACTGTAGCATTGTTAGCATTTGCATTTTCCAAACAGGCAAATTATGGTAAGGAACAGCGGAGTGAGTAACTCAGAGTTACACTACAAATAATCCATGGCAGGGTTGGGAATGAGATAAGCCTCCTGATTAGATGTCCTACATATCGGCCCAAGTCGCCTTCCATTTAGAAATCATCAGTCTTCTCCCGGTGAAAGGATCCGTTTCAAACACCCTAAACTGCAACACTGCAGTTAAGAGAGAGCAGCTCTAACAAATATCACATGCTTAAAAAATATCACTTGACATCGCAGCTGGAATGTTTTATGCTCGTAAGGTTGCTGGCCACATGTGATCCATATGAAAATAAATGCAATGATTTACAAGGTTTTCACTGCCACCCTGCTGTATCAAGCTGCAATGGCATCACTGGCATCCAATAAATCAACACGCAACTACTATTATGATTTGGCTAAATTTCACAGAATCATCGAATCATAGAATCGTAGCTTTACAGAAAATTAACCTTTTCAGTGTGTGACGGACAGGCTCCTAAGATTTCTTCTGCAACTACATTAAACGTGCACTGAGATTTCTAGACACTGAAACACATATACTCTTCCTTATTCGAAAGAAAATAAGTTCTTGAATATCCTTCGAGTAAGCTCCTTACTTGTGTAATTAGCACAGCATCAAAAAATAGCTCTGACAGGCACATGTACATAGTAGGTACAAGTAATGGATTCCAGATGTGATAAGTAGGCAGCACTGCCTTATTACTAAATATGCTAACTTCATTCTCATTACTGTATTAAAATGGGAAAACCAGAATCACTTTTCTAAATTGCTTTCTGAAGAACGTTAATTTCTACTAATCCTAAATGCCTCTAATTATTCTGTTCTGGCATAATATACATTGTTTTATACATATGTATACACATCAGTAAATTTTAAATTTACTTGACTAAAATTTCAATTTAAAGTGCTTAAAGTAGGAAGATACCTCACATCTGTGGCAACACTCATCTCTCCACTCAAAGAATCAGTGTGAGGAAAACATAACAGCAGAAAAATGAATAAAAATGGACACCAGTATCACTTATTCTCTCTTTTCAGATCCTGTTTTTATCAGCTCAGGGATAAAATTATTTTCACAGAATTATGCCTTTTTACGATACTGACAGGTCTTCTATTTACGCAGCTTCTACAGAAACCCATAATTAGAATTTTTGTTAATTCTGCAGTGACTGCTTTGCATGCATGTGCAATGAACTTTGAACTCACGCATTCCCCTCAGCCGTGAATAAAACTGTAACATGATACAATATTTATATTTCTACTTCACATTTGTGGTTTTATTTATAAAGGATTCAGTCTGATAATTAGTATGACATTTAGGTTCTTCTTAATTTTACAGTATTTTTTTTACATTTCCTTACATGGAACAGCACAAACTACTTTTTTTTTTTAAAAAAAACCCTAAATTAGGCAAGATATTGGAAGGAAGGTCTTCACTGTTCTGTTTGGAAATGCAGTGGTTTGATTTGCCAACAAATTAAAGCAAAGAAAAATGGACTGATAAAAGTTAAAAAAAAACAAGCACGAGCTACTGACATTATTATATCTATTATTAAGCTGATCTGTAGTTTTATAAATATCTGCAATGAGTTTCCTAGGAAACTCAGCTGACACTTAGTTTGACAAGAAATCTCTAAATTTTATATTATGCAAGCTGTGAACACAAAAGTACAGGTTTTAGATGTGCCTGCCAGTGCATGTGGGAACTATCAATAAGCATTATTCTCTTTAAAAACCATGGCAATTTGAGCAGCAGTAGCAG